CAAATAAAATCGAGTTAACGAGTTGCTTCCCGTGCGCCGAGCACAGAACCACTTTTCCCACCCTTCTTCAGGTCGAATCACTCCTTTTTCTATCTAAAAGATCTCGCCAAGATGTGCATTGACCTCATCCTCCTGAGTCAAATACAGTATCAATGATGTAACTGCGGATTAAAGAGCTATCATGAGCCACAGAAAAGTAGTAAAGCGAGTAATTACACAGCACCTGAAGAGTGAAGATTTAATTAGCTTTTCGAGCAAGTTGTTACGTCATACCATTGGAGAGATGACATTTCTTTTCAATATCTTCTCATCCCCGTCATTTATATGCATCCTTAATAACTATTCTGCACATAATATGATGCATCTATTCATTACTGTAGAAGGTGAGATGCAAGACCTCAGATATAGGCGCCTCTAAATCGCCACAAGTTGAAAAGGGAAAACAAGAAAATTGCGTGAAAAGGAAACAGTTCTTTAATTAATTTTCATCGTACTTCATTATTACTAGTATATACCTGAGTAAATAACACGTGCAAGGCTCCATTTCTCATTTCTCAGCAAAAGCGTATTACATACTCTAAAAGAAATTTGCAATACACGAAGAGTACGGGATCGTACAAAACGAAATACAAAACGTATTGGATCGTCCGTTAGGTTTGCATTCGTAAAAATTTAGTTTTCACTCGCGATTTTTAAGAAGTACGCTCATGTAATAATGTAGTAATTTTTAAAATTTGACAATGAATGACAAGCGTTAATATAACGACGAGTATCACTGATATATCGCAGAGGTTAGGTCAACTAAACTCGGCGCAGAGGAGTTCAAGAGGCAGATAGAAATATAAACAATTTTCTTGTAGAAGAAAATTGAGATATGTCAGCTTTTCTTGACTAAAAAAATGTTTTACTTTACTATCCTCTCTTTTGTTTCCATTTTTTTCGTGTTTAGATCTCCCAAGAAAATGTAATGAATCCAGGAACACAGTTTTTTTAATCCGAAACTGATCGCTTTAAAACACCTCATTAGAGGTAATTTAAATTACTTCTTACGGTTGTTGTTTAGGAGATCGTAAGTAAAGATCTTTTACAGATTTTCTTCAAATAGTCTGCAACATAACGGTATAATAAAAGATCCTTCAATCTTGTTTTTGGTATCAAATATTCCGAAGAAATATTCACTTTCGAAAAGTGTGCACAAAGTCCGAAGCAAACTTTTGTCCTGTTTCGGCATCTCATTTATATAAGGTTAATAACAATAACTTTATATATTATTTCCTTTACAATCTTCTTAATATATCATACTCTATTTCAATAAGAAAATTTAATGAAATTAGTTTCCTCATTGCTTTTGCCAGGCAGTTCGTATAGCACAACACAGTCTATAAATATAAGTTCTTGGTAAATACAATATATTTATTCATAAAATACAAATTTTTGCGAATGCAAAAACGAATACAAAAATGTATATATCGTGAAGGATGAATGTCGTTTTATTATCAATTTTTGCCTACTATTTTTTATAACTCTATTTTTATAATAATTAAATAAATTCTATAAATATTTTATTATCAGAGGACAAAGTTCAATTGTACCGTGTTGTATTGTTGCAAGATGGTAACCGTTATTTTTATCGCACTTGATCCATTTGGCAACTTAGACACCATAGCAAAATGGGGCGAAATACGATTTGTCAACCAATACCGTGAGCCTCGTTCACGAAGCTCTTCTATTGAAAGTACCGCTACGTTGACAGTTCTCGTAAGACCAAGCGGTACACCTGGTTCCTTCATGCCGGTCTGTTCCACGTTGAATTTAAAACTTAATTCCCGTTCTGTACATAACATCAATACACACGATGACTTCAAGAAATATTAAAAGTACCGACGATAGGTATTGGTGCCTTGGTCGTGAAGCAAACATTAAACTTCCTATATGAATGTTTTCCCAGCTATAGAACCTCTCAAAAACAGCGAAGAGATAATGACGTTTTTATATGTAACAGTTAAGTATTGCTCCTGGGGTGTCATGAATAAAATTTAAAAGTAAGATTTTAACTTGGAATTTTTATTTTATATTTTATGTAGAATATTTATCAGCCGAATAATATTAATTCACTTACTTTACAATATAGATGACAATTACGGCTAAGAAACAATACGCGCATATATAAACTTAGAGACGATAACTTTGCATATCATTCTTTTATCAGCGTAGATGCGGCGTATATAATGGGGAAAATTGAAAAAAAAATATAACACAGATAGCAGAATATTTCAGAATAAATTATATACGGCGCAGATAGCAGCATACTTCAGTACAGCAAAAGTGAACATCAACTGATAACAAACATTCTTCGAATCAAGTAGTTTTATCTCTGGAGCACGCCCTGAGAGATTGATTCTTTGCTTGGTCCTCAACATCTGTCCGAGCACATTTTGCTTCTCCGGAAACGCCTTTATATTTATTTAAGCATTTGAACCGCATCTCTTCTCCGGAATGTTTCCCCATCGAACCTGTGTTCGCTTGGACCAAAGTAATGTATCCAAGTCGAACAGCTGTCTGGTGGGGCTTCCTATCGCCAATGACTTGCAACTTCCTTAATACACTTTATTAATTTAACGTAAAAACTATAAGCAAGAAACGAACTAAACGTGATCATGAAGATGATCATAAGCGAATTTACACAATTTCAATAGATGCTTTAACGCATCACCAATATTTTTTAAAAAATCCCTGTATATATCCCACTTTTAATGATGCATTATCTTATGTTGAAAGAGTGAATCTTATTCATTTAAACGAATATTAAACACACATCTTTCCATGTTATTCCGAATTCATTGCAAAATGTAAAAGACAAGTGAAAACTTCAGTTATCGCTTCGTAATTCAAAATCTTCAAACTGAAAAGTTTTCAAGCAATAAAAACGTTGTAAGTGTCTCGTCCATCTTTCATAAGAAGACCTATAAAACTATTAATGGAACACCTTCTCGCGTCAATATTCCTATGTGAAAAGTGTTACATTGATGATCAAATCTGAATTTACACACGAGCATTCTTTTGAATCCCATCATTAAAAAAAATATTTTGTCTACTTATAATAACATGAAATATCATTAACTCGTATCTGTAGGTAGTAAAACGTCTCAAATCTAATCATTATTGAGAAACAATCGTAAATCCATTCTCTCGACGTATTTCACGTTTGCTTTTTCTCTTCAAATAGTTTTTGTTTATATGATGTTATGGTTTTGAACGGAAATATTTCATATTTTACTTTGTTAATGAATGTATATTGACATCAAGTAGGTAACTGACATTACTATCAAAATTGAACAATATGCATTAAGAAATAGAAATGTGAAATCTGCATAGGACTGAATATGTTCATTTCAGACAAAGAATAACATGCACAATTCGCAGCCAAAATTATCATTCTTGCTTGGTACTCTTAATTCGGTTTCCAAACGGTAACAAAAAATTCAAATTACCAAAGATTTGATATAAAACAAATACGTTTTATAAACAAAAATCACTAACTGCTATTTTATCCGCAAACGTTTTTGTCTGGACACGAATTTAAGGAACAAGTGACCCTTCGAATCGTTTTATTTACTTATTTCGCCCGTGTCAAGATATTCAATGTATTCTTCATAATCGTTGAGATCTCCCATTACGCAAGATTTTGTTTTTATTTTCATGTAAGTAGTCTGTATATTTTGGGCGGTATTCCATATTCCCCGGCTCCGTTAATCTTTTCCTGTAGTCATCTCTCTATTCTTGGAAGATCTTTCATTTTCCCCTCTAGTTGAATTCGGATGAAATATATGCATCGAGCTCGTCATACCGGAGGTTTTCTTGCTGGAATTAATTCTATTCCTTCTTGCACATTGAAACTTATTGACCCTTGAACTAGAAACCACTTTTTCAATCATGGAGTTTGAATTCTTGCAATTATAAACACAGCAAACCGTTCCTGTCACGTAGAATTCGGTATCTATTATTTTCCGTGGTATCTAATGCACAATTCTACAAAAGCGTGGCAGAGGTATTTTCTTAATATATAAATTTAAAAATCGAATAAAAAAAGTAAAAATTTGTTGAAGTCAGTTGACGGAGAACTGACATTTCTTTTCCAATTAACAAATAGTCCCAGTTACTTATTGTCGAATGAAACGCACATGTGTCCCACACCAATGGTCGCCATGAATTCACAAACCAGTAAATTCATAATTCTAAATTGTGCGACTACTAATATAAATTGCTTAAATGGTGAATATATTAATAAAATAATGATTTGAAACCATCAATTTTATTAACATCATATCCCGCTATTTAATAAAAAATTTCAAATGTATCTAATTATTGCAAAATCGTAGATGCGTAAAAAATCTTTCAATATGGCTTATTTCAACACAATTCTTTTATTTTAATTAATACCATATAATTCCAGCTGATTATGCACTTTTGAGCACGATTCTTCCCTACGTGGTTGAAATAGATGTACGGACGTTTGTTTTGATTAATTCATCACTTTTTAAACGCAAAACTATTCCTTTTTTGCTTCGCTACCTCCGTGGTCCGCGGCCCACCGATTGGCGACGGTTGGCGCGGACAGAGAGCAGACAGAGAGTGGACAGAGGGCGGACAGAGGGCGGACAGAGGGCGGACAGAGGGCGGACAGAGGGCGGACAGAGGGCGGACAGAGGGTGGACAGAGGGCGGACAGAGGGCGAACAGAGGGCGAACAGAGTGCGGACAGAGGGCGGACAGAGGGCGGACAGAGCGCGGACAGAGCGCGGACAGAGCGCGGACAGAGCGCGGACAGAGGGCGGGCAGAGGGCAGACAGAGGGCGGACAGAGGGCAAACAGAGGGCGGACAGAGCGCGGGGAGAGCGCGGACTGAGAGCGGACAGAGCGCGGACAGAGCGCGGGATTGAGCGTGGACTGAGCGCGTGGGGCATGACATGCCGCTGCGCCCGGACAGGAAGGAGCACTCACCTCCGGTGAGGAACTGCGGCATCCACACGGGCGAAGCCACGACAGAGCTCCCGAGCACCGCCAGCAGCAGCGCCAGCGCCGCCGAAGCCATGGCCACCTACAAAACAAGGAGCATGGTTATTAAATCACTTCATCATCATCATTATAAATAATAATAATAATAATAATAATAATAATAATAATAATAATAATAATAATAATAATAATAATAAATCTTAAAACGCATGATTTTGGAGGAATTAAAAAAGACAAAAGATAAAAAAAATACTCAGAGGAACGAAAAAATTGTAATGGGATATCGAGAGGAACAGTGAAATCCATCAAGTCAAAGGAAAGTAGAAAGAAGGAGAATAACAATAATAACAATATCAATAATAATAGATATTATTATTATTATTACTATTATAATGAATTGCACTCAATTTATTTTCATTGATGTAATGAATCAGAGTGAATGCGCCAATTTGTTTACAATACATTTTCTTAGGCTAAAATACAAAATATCGATCTCGAAACAATGTATTGTTATGAAAAAGATACGGATTGGAGGAACGAAGTGGAGTTAACGACAAAATAGTTTCCTAAAAAATACCTAACATTAAATGCTGATGTATTAAAAAAATAGATTTTTGAAAATAAATGCAGTAGATAAGTTAGCACTAAACAGAAACGGAAGGCTGGGCTCTATGAACATCTGCCTTGAAACGCTTATTCTTCTGCACAGAGAATGCACTGTTCGTGATGAAGACAGTTGTATAAGGTAGACAAACCACCTGTGAACCCTACGAGAAATAAGATACTTAAAACATACCACATCATCTTCTTACTAGAACATAGTGCCTCATGAGAGAAAAACATCGGTGATCACTTAACCTCAACTTACAATCTTTAAAGAAATTAAATCTTCAATTCATCTGAAGCAAGACATCGCAACCCATTACGTTTCTATTTCAAAATGGTTTATGATGGTTTATTTTTGGGTTGTGTATATTCAAATATTTTAATCGTGAAAGCTCATGAAAGCGCAATTCAAATTTGAAATTATATTTACAGTCAAGAAGCCATCTACAACTTCAAATCTTCTAATACATGCTCTATAATAGGCCTGTTGGAAATTAGCGTCATTCTACCAGAAGTGAAGAATTTGTAAGAAGTGCTATAATTGGCAGAGAGCACCTATTACTGTACACAGCGCTTACACCCGCAACAAAAAATAAAATATTAGTTGATTTTATGGTAATCGTTTTTCAAGGGCCTCAAGAGCAACGCCTGGGCACAAGAACAATTCCTGGCAATTGCAACTGGAACGCTGCTCGCCGACAAGACGCCTTAATCGCCAATCATAAAATATGACTCTGCGTTCGCGGCAGCCTCTGCAAAACAACGCATGAAACCAGCTAGTCGACTTGGCAGCGGCCGGCCGAGGCCACAATGTGCTACCATTGTGTTCAACAGTGAAAATATTATCCTTTTTCTGGCTCATCTTTTTCAGTTTTACAATGACCTATCACCGACCCCAGATGGATATTTTTTTCTTGATCTGGCTATTGGAGGGGATGGGCCTTTAGAGGGGTGGATCATTTGAGGGGATGGGCCATTTGAGTAAATGGGCCATTTGAGAGATTGGGCATTTGAGAGAATGGGCCATTTGAGAGAATGGGCCATTTGAGGATGGGCGCTCAGCCCATAGCTCCACTCTAAGGATGGGACCGGATAGGAAATGAAGGAACGCACGCGGTCCGTGGCCCGTATTCTATTAAAGGGTTTGGCAGGAAGCGATAAGGGAAAATACGGAAACCATTGGTCAGAGCAGGTGGCCTACGAATTTCTGGCAAGCGCCACAAAACTGTTAATAATAGTAGTTTGAAATTTAAATCGAACAGACGACCGATGTTTCAAAATACATTAAATAATTCTTGAGTAATCCACAGTAATTTCAGGAATGCTTCTGAGAAGTTACACTAGGAATGCCCTAAGGCTTTGCTCCATCTCCAGGCAATTTCACCCAATTCCCTGCAGCAACCGTTAGCATCGCCAATGTATTTATGCCGCTTAGTGAATATTGCATCACGTTTAACGACGTGGGTAAGACTGCCTCCTCACTATATTTCTCACATGTACGTACTCGTCGGCACCATTACCGTTACCGTCGTGTGTACATGCAAGGTCAAGCATTACTCTACTGACTTTACCAACATCTTGGGATTCACTTCGTCAATCAGAGCAAGTGTCACACCTGTTAATGTCGTCACCTTCTTTGTCTCGCATTCAGCACTAGGGTCACTAATTTGATGCATTTTTCTCTACTGGTACCTTCTTTATTAATAATAATTCAACTGGCATTCTTCACTGTCGTCACATTTACACATTGTCGATTTACATTCAGTAAGGTTGCAACTCCTATGAATTCAGCTGCTACGCCGCATATTTGCGTCTATAATCCACATCACCTGCTTCTTCGTAATATTTTGAAAGGTCAGCGGTCTCCATTCCAACACTACTGATATAATAGTAGTCACGTCATTTTTGTAGTAGTCTATAAGCCAGGTGTTCCCTCATCGGTCACAATTTTATTGCGTTTTATGCACTGTTGTCAACTCATCGTCTCTGCTTCTCACCATTTCTGCGCGTGTGGAGAATCACGCGCGACATCGCCCCCACGACTTACTTAAAAAAATATCGCGTCTGACGGCGCCACCCACTCTTTGGCAAATATCGTTGCCATCTTCATTCTCGGATGTAGCCTCGTGAAGAAAAATGTCACCATTTCTACAGGTCGTACCATTAATCGCGCAAATTATTTGGTGCAAGCATTTCAGATCAGATGCACAGATGGCCAGCGTGTAGTCTCGCAGAGAATCTCCGCTTGTTACTAAGCGATAGCTTTTGTTCCTGGAGGTGCTGGAGACGCGAGCTACGAGTATGATATCATTCTTAAAACGTAGCTATTATCTCTTTATGCATGTATTTTCCTTTAGACAAAGAGGCTTGCCGAAGTATTTTGTTAGTAAAGGGTTGATTTTCGCCTGTTTTCCTTCATCATTACGATTAAAATAAAATGGATTATATTTGGTATATAAATTCATACTTAGTATTTTCATGGTCAATAATTTCATGGATTTAGACAAAGATAAAGTAAATTACAAAATGTATTAGTTATATTTTAATAAATTTATCAATCATATACGCATAACTATATCATATTTTTCAGAAAGTGGAAAATTGACCCGTAGTAAACAGCGACTTACCAGTTATTGAAAAATGGAAAATAAAAATTTCCTTCGCCTTCAAATGAAAACATTTTACTTAAAGCAGCAAGGACAAATGATCACTTGAGTATATTACAAGAGATGCACATTCTTACATTTCTTAAAGCAAAAGTGATGCAATCAAAAAATGCAGAGAACGCATGAGACAATCTCGTTCCAGGCCCAGTATTATAGTGGCGGAAAACGCGCACCTTCATTATCTTCAATTCTTAGTCACCATGGGCGATATCTTCCCGCTCATTTCTTTCCTTTTGAATTTATTTTTTATTTGTTTGACAATTTTGTCCTAAAAAGAAGTTAGATTTTTGACATCAATTGGCATTTAGATATAAACATTCTGAGACATACTCTAATTTGAATGACGCCAATGTTAGTCAAAAGTTTCTCTCTCCACATCGCTGTTTCGGCGTGTAGAATCGGTTGCCTATTCCGGGCGAGTTGCGTGATAAAATACCATATTGTATCACTGCGATTGTTCAAAGAACCAATCGGCATCACTACGAGCAGTATCAAAAACATTATTGCTCTGTGCCTCATTGCAACCAGGCCGTAGGCCCTTCATAGGAATTGACATTTCATAGGAACCATGTCATCACTATTTTTATTTGTATTCTGGTACGTAGGAACAGCCACCAAAGCCAACGCTGACAGTTCCCATTATCTCCGATGCTACCACGGCGTGGCAATCATACGATTCGAGAAAAGTATTTATCGTCACGAGCTCGACTGATCATAAATCTTCGCAGCAGCGACACTTCATTGCAATTATTTTTATCATCGCCACCTGGCGCCATAACACCATGAGATTTATGGTGACAAAATCTCCGTCGTTTCCAATGCAGTCGAGTTTCTTATTCTATACCATCCGTGACTAAATGCATATTCAGAACGCCTCAGCGTTCCATTCTTTCTTACCTTCGGCATGCAACTCCAGCATAATCACACTGCAACTTCTAATTTTTCTTCATCGCCACTACTTTCATTATTTTAATAATTTCAGTCCCAGAACTTCACATTGGTCATTTGAATAAGACGTTCATGAGTATACAAGATATTTCACAACTGCCAAAATATTTTTTTACGAAGGATGTTACAAGAGATTACCTCCACGTGAAATGGCAAATGTTGAACATCTGTGCCGTATAATGCAGAACGACATTTCAAAAACTTTTACACAAAATCCGCTCTCCCCCAATAGGTCGAAAATCTTATTATAATTGTGTGATTATCGAAATAACAATGTATTAGTTTTAGAGGCAGGGTATGCTGGATAGAGATGTGATGTGCGTCATCTGAATGCAAATTAAAACAAAAATCGAGGTGAATGTACGTGCGTGCTTGCGTTTGTTTATATATTAGTCAGTGTGCGCATACTTTTGTACGTCATTATACATATTCCATATCCATTATCTAAACTGGTCTAAGATATGGTAAAGAATTATATGTCTGTATTTAATATATTAATAATTCTGAAACATAAGAAATAATAAATAAAATATGAAATAAAGAATGCGATATCATGACGGAGGGAAATAAAGAATGAAATATCATAACATTTTTGTAAAAACGTAATATTCTACTTTCAAATTACCACATTATATTCACGCACATATATTGAGCAGCAAATTAAACGTTGACAAATTCAAAAAATAAAGTAACTGAACAAATAAAGATACATTTTCTTTTTAGAAAATCATCACGTTCTTAAAAAACCGAATCGTCTTCCAGAAATTCGACACAATTCCCCCCTCCAAGTATTCCATTCCTGCCTATGGTAGGTGCCTGGCTTCGTCCACATTCCATCCACAGCCGTCTCAACTCTTCGGGC